ATATGTCTGGGGCATTGTTTCCTACATCTCTGATCCTTCCTGTGAGGTTATCTGCAGAATGTTGGACTGCTTGGAGGCAACTGAGGTATGATGTCCCACAGGACTCCATTATTTTTCCCCCAGCCATTCAGTGTGAGTAGGAAACCTATGGGGAGGAGCATTTAGAGTCCTGGAGTGGGATATGACCAGTTTTATTGCTTCTTAGCATTTAGGTTCAACTGTGAGGGAAGAAAAGTTGAAAATAAATCAAGAAAAAATGGAGGTGGTGTTGCTACAAGGAAACTGGATTTAGGTACTGGGATTCAGCATGCTGGGGATGAGGTTGCCCTCCCTTGAAAAACCAGGTCTGCACTCCAGGAGTGTTGCTTCATCCTCAGCTGTCCCTGCATTTGCTGGCAGCCACACAGAGAACTCTTTACTAGCAGCAACACCTTTGAGATAAACAGTGGGAGAATCAGGATATCCTGTGCCTGACCCTTTTTTTCTCCCTTCCACCCAGAGATTGCTTAAATAAGCTTTCTCTACCTGAGCAGCTTCTCTCTCCAGCCCAGGCTCCTTTAATAAGTGCTAACCAGTTAACAAGCTCAGCTCTGTGACCTTAATTAGTTGATCAGAACCCTCCCTGTGCTGTTGTTGGAAACTGACCAGAACTTAATCAGTTTCATAACTGAGAGCTTTTTTGTCTCCTAAAGTGCACTAAGCCAACAGCCAGAGCTAGTACATTCCTCCCAATGTGTATTCTCTACTGTGTGCCTGTTTACTTACTTGTAATCCTTCCTTCCCAATAAATGTAAATACAAATATTAATTTCCTTCTTGCTAATTATCCCAGCACTAGGGTGAGCACTCCAAAGGGTGGGGGAGTGGGGAAAAAGGCCTATAACATTGGTCCTGCAAACCTTATTTTGAATGCACATAAGGTTATTTCACTTCTCTGTAGGAAAAGTAGAGACCTGAATCTCCTCTGAAAAATTGATAAGCTGGTTGTTTCTGACCAGAAAATACCTTCCCCACTTATTTGAACCTCTAGCGAAAAGGATCTCTTACGCAAAGAGTTCACATTCTTAGCATTTTCCAGCATGACTTCTCTGTACAGAGATTTTTGATCAAAATCCAGCAGAGCCCACTCCTCCTCAGAGAAAAACACAGTTACATCTTCAAAGGACACAGGAACCTGTAGTAATAAAAAAAAAAAAACATTCCGTGTTAATGTAGAGTTCCAGAAAGTATTTGCAAATTCTCTATACTAATGACCAATCTTGCTGATTCTGTAGGACCTTCAATACTATTCATTGATAGCAACCCTAATATCCTTTTTAGTCAACTCCCGAGACAAGACTAGGGGGCAATTCGGACCTCCAATACTTCCTGGAAGGTTGGTTCATCGAGCAAGTATATGACTTAATCAATGCCTTATGTTGTCCACTAGGACATATGCAGTCTTCATTCAACAAGTAGAAGAAGTTGTTGGGAGATGTCCTCCAGAAGTAGCTTGAGATGCTCTGAATGTATGGATAATATCAGATTACTGGGAAGCTGCTTATACTTTGGAAAACTGGTTAGATGGAAGCTAACCAACTAGCTCTGGAAAAGGGATTCAGACCACTTTGGAGAGAGTTGCATGTTCCCTGAATAAATCATGTTACACTTTGGGAGGCAGGTATCCTCCTCCTACCTGAGTTGGAAGTACAACCGCTGTTTCTGCTCCATCACAAAGAGATGTTCCCACCGGTATTATCACTGTTGTTCCATTTTCTGAGAGCAAGATAAAAGGTTAGGAAATGCTTGTTTTAAAAACAGCTGGAGGAAAACTATGCACAAAGGCCAGGCTTGCACACAGGTCTAAGGTAGTATTGTAAAAGAAACTCATGAATAAAAAGATTTAAAAACAGCTGGAGGAAAACTATGCACAAAGGCCAGGCTTGCACACAGGTCTAAGGTAGTATTGTAAAAGAAACTCATGAATAAAAAGAGTCCAATAAATCAAAGGAGCCTTCTTTTACCTGATGGTGGGACTTGAGATGGGTCCTCCTGGGAGATCCCCCCCAAGACGGGTTTCTGAGGGGCATATGACACATCCCCTAATGCTTTAGGCGCTTGGGTGGCCACCTCCATGAAGAGCTCTTGAACCTGAAATAGGAGC